CCAGAAGGCTCCCAGGCCTCGGTCTGGCACGAGGTCGACTGTAAGGTGTGCGGTGGTCGACTGAACGCGATCTGTTTAGAACGTGCAGGTTTCTGTACAGATTGTGTTCGTGACATGATTTTGTGATTAAACTTGTTTAAATCACACTGAAACATATATAAAACATTATGAACTTCAAATCATCATCTCTGGGAATTATCAAACATCAATAACATGATTAATTGCAAAAAGAAACATGCTTAAACCCTTAAACATGCAAATATCACTATGACGATTAAACTTATAAAATCTCAGTTAAACAACATGAAATATTAAAACATGATAAAATATAAATATGAACAGAAGGAAAATTTGTTTAAACATGTTCATCTTACTTAGGTTTTTTTCACAAACCTAGGGTTAGCATAATTAACTTACATAAAAACTCAGCTAGTTTGTAAATCTACGGTTTAAACATAATTAGAGCATGATTAACACGATAAAAACTAAAACAATTTTAACCCTAGTGATCATGATCATGTTACTAATATAAATAGTAAGAAAACAAAATAGATCTAACATTGGTTTAAGATTTAACATAAAAAATCTCATCTTTTTCACATCAGCTTAAGCTTAAACAAGTAAAACATTGATTTAAACATCTTAAATCATTTATTAACTAAGGGTGCAGGTTTGTGAAGATGATCTTGCCTTAAACTCATGTGCAAGCCTCTGAAACAAACAGCAAGCAATCCGCAAGTGCAAATAACCCGTTCTCCCTTGCCACACGTCGATAATCTCGCCCTCGTATCGGTATTGTGCTTTATAAAGTTCTCAAAATTCATAAGAAAAAGATCTAGGTTTTTTAAGGGAAGAGGATGGTTGCTAGGATTTAGAGATATGATAAAAGAGAGGAATTTTTATGAAAAACATAGGTATTTATAGAGGCAAATCCGAAACAACCACGTTTGACCCGAACCAGGAAGCCTAGTCTGACTAGGAAAATCACCTTCAATATTTTAGCTGTAACTTTCTCATACGACCTCAGAATAAGGTGAATTAAGATTTGTTGGAAACGGTTAAAGTTACCTACAACTTTGTTCTTTTGAGTTTTTTCATATTCCAACTACATCATTGTGTAAAACACGTATACCCTTAACTAGTTGTTTTTCCAGATTTCAGGCTCGTGTATATAGTGCATGATTTCACTCCTATATTCACATATATACATTAAATTGATCTCAAATCAATTTCTAGTATACTAAAATATTAATAAATGTTATTTATCACCATATAACACATTATTATTGTTAGACCCTAGAGGGGAGGGGGGTGTTAGACCCTAGAGGGGGGGGGGGGGGTTAGGGGCTTTTGCTAATCTAATCCGATTAAATGCCAATTAAAATTAATTAATAAGTTATCCTAGCAAGTATGAAATACAACAATGTATATGAGCTAGGATAAGCAATATGAACAACAAGATATATCCTAACAAAGAGATATAGGCTATGTATGTGCAAGGATATATAAACTCAAGGGTAAACAATCTAAACTAGATAGTGGGCAATATAATCAACAAGCAATATACAAAGGCGATATAAGATATGAACATAAAAGGAAGTGCGCTAATGCAATCACAAACAAACAATGTGATTACGGAGTTCGGTCCCCACGACCTACGTCTCCGCTCCTTACCTCGAGGAGATCTCCACTATCATAACCGGGTTTTCTACGTTCACCCGAACAACGTTTACACCTCACAATGCAATCACTATGCAATCAAACCTCACACACTAAGTGTTGGTCCTAGCCCGTGTCCTTCTCCTCAAGTGCTCAGTTACAACCTCTCCCTAGGCACATCAACCGACGCCATTCCTCTTGGATTCAACCCCGTCTCTCACCACACACTTCTCTCAGTGTACAAGTGTATTACAAGTGATTTCTCATAATTAAGCACAATATAACAAATGATTGTTCTCTCTAACAAGGTGAGAACTCAATTTGGCTCAACTCAATGTCACACTATCCCATAACCTAATTATATAATGTATGCAAATACAATAAGCTCAATGGTTGTGTGTGTAAACAAAGAGTAAATCAAATCAAACTAAACTCAATATAAAACTAGCTTTAATAGAAATGATAATCAACAAATAATTAAAAATAAAAGCTAGAGTTGAGTTTAGAAAAATTCTCAATAGATGACAAGATAGAGAGATGGAGATTGAAGCTCAAACAAGAAGATAATCTCTAGCAAACAGCTCAGGAAATAGCCGTTGGAAAAGCAACGGTCAAATAGGCGGTCGACCGGCGGAAATTTCGGTCGACCGCTATCCAGGTCAAACACGAGAAAAACAGGTATAGACTTATCCGGTCGACCGGTGCGGTCGACCGAAGGAAGCTCTCGGTCGACCACGGCGGTCGACCGACCAACTCTCTGCTGCATGCTGTCGAAGGAACAAATGAGCGGTCGACCGGATCGGTCGACCGAAAACTGATATGCAGAAAAACAGGTTTTAGAAGCTGATTTTGAGACTTTAGAAAATATGTTAAAAATAACAAACGAAGTCCAAAAATAATGAAACTTTGGGAAATGTATATAAAAATGAAAACAAACATGTTACAAAAAGAATTTTTCAAATTACATTTTCCATTTGTGAAAAATCATCATTTTGTAAAATAGTCCAAAACATGAAAATGGAAACATATGAATTTTGACATTTTGGGTAAACCATGTTTTGAAACTTTGCACAATGATTATATAGACTTAATAAAGTATGTATATGATTATTGTTAAGTCCAAAAACTAAGAATATAATATTTTCACAAAATTGCATATTCTATGCAATAAATACCAAAACACAATAATAAATATGTAATTTCATATTTATAAACATGAAAACCAAAACTT